TGGACTCACGGCTAAGTCTTGAAGCTGTTAATAAACGATTGATATATTAAAATATTGATGGTGAAGAAATGTTGACATAATGTTTTTCGTATCGTCCAGGGAATGTTAGGTTATGTTTTATGAGGGTGTGAATGGAGAGACGGCTTTTGAGATCTTTTAAGGCTAAAGGTTGGCCATTTTACGGCTATCGGTAATTTGACACTTAAGAAAATGACACAGTATTAAGAAACATTTTTCTACGGTTGACTTCTCTTTCGACTAACAATTAACATTTCTTAATTTTAAGATCTAACGGCAAAATTCTTTTTCCGTTTTACGGCTAATGGTTAGTCCATCTTGTATTCATATCTGACCAAAATCCAAGAGTGCTGGTGTCAGGTGATTACCTCACACTGAGCAAATTTCTAATCTGTCAGAGAGTAGTGAGAGTAAAACCCATGGAATTCTTCTCAATGACCAATCATGGGAAGTACCACGTGATTGTTGTAGACCCGATTAACACATAGCGGTGGAAAGTGAAACTAATACAATTGTCAGTATGAATAAATGGGCAGAGAAGTCATTTCCACACTGCTTTCCCTGACAACTGCCAACGGTCGCTCCATCCCCTGTGCTATCTTGCTCATCTCCTCTGAGCGAGAGCCTGGAACCATAAACAATGAACCTCGACCAATAAGCTGACGAGGTACCTCTCTTCATACAGTCCACGAAAGGATGTGAGTACCACCCCTTTAGCCACTCACCTAAACCCAGGGAAAGATTTTCCGACATGTTCTCACTTACCTCGGACAACACTCTCTCGATGATCACAATTCGCTCCTCCTCCGACAAATTACAACAGAACGGTGGAATTGTGATGTCCAGGTCCGGTGTACGCGGTGTGATAAGAATAGCTTCAAGGGATAGGAATTCAAGAACCCTCGTAGGGATGGCAGCGTACAGAAATGACATACACCCTGTGTACTGGTCGGGTGAAGCTCCTTCGGTATGATAGTCAGACTGGTTCGTTGAGCACAAGTTGACTTGGACAAGAACAGATGAGGGATATCTCGAAGGATACAATGTAGGTGCAATATTATAGTAATTTTGCGGTGATGCTAAAGAAGCGTAAGCATCGTCATAGGTTTTACAACAGTCGGCATGATCTTTGCATCTACTGAACACGTTTGCTTGGGTTTGGTAAGTGATGATTGTGACTTGGTCAGGGAAAGAAGAACAAACCAGAACCTCGGCATCGTAACCATTTTGTATTCAACTGTCGAGAATGATGAAAAAATGTTACCATAATGATGATGATGATGGTGATGATGATGATGATAATAATGATGATGATGATGATGATGATGATAATAATGATAATTTAGTAAAGGACATTCCATTGAGTGGCTCTTGTTGTCCACTATTTCTAGATCGAATTGGAATGTGGAATGTTGGTTTTCGCGGAGGGAGGAAAACCGGAGGACCCGGAAAAAAACTCTCAGATTAAGGACGAGAACCAACACGAAAACTCAACCCACATGTGACGCCAAGTCAGAGAATCGGACCCAGGCCATAGCGGTGGGAGGTGAGTGTTCTCACCATTGCGCCATCCCCGCTCCCCATCATGAAATTAAAGTCAAGTTTTCATGCGACGCTATTGCACAGATGTGTCCAGAAATACGTGCGTCAACGAAAATGGCTGATATGACGGGATTTCGTCAAAATCGTCAAGTTTCGCGCAGACGAATTCGACTAAAAATTTCGTCAAAATCGTAAATTCCGCCGAATTGTTTTCGTTTTGAAGAATTTGACCAAAATTCGCCAAAAAATCGTCAACCATGAATATTCAATGTGTTTGACTAAGTCTCATCAAATCTTCTATTTTCGTTTCTGCGCTGTTGGCAAGGTATATTTTCTTGATCTATATGTTCTCTTGTTTACTTACTGTCAAGAGAATATGAATATCCTTTCGTGACTATCAAACAATAAAGAAATCAAATAAAAATCTGTATCGCGCTACATGCCATTAGTAATGGCCCAGGAGCTCTCCCCAAAATATTCGGTTTCGTCTGGCTGTGACATAATGGCTAAGTCACACAATCGCGAACCCACTAAATNCACCAGAATGTTTGTCATTGAGTCTAGAGACACTTTAGACAGTCAAATGGATTAAAAATTATCACTGACCAAGTAGCAGGGTCGTGGTTACTGTCTTCTTATGGTGACTTCAATCAGTTGTCGCTAACTCGAAAGTATTGAGGAAGTTTGAAAGGTAACACTTCGTGACTGTTTGCATAGAAGCGACGGCTTTTTTTTCAAAGGATAATATCATGTACCTACAGATAATTGGTTGGAGTCAAAAAGCTTCCCTGGTTTTTTTCTTTCTTTTTTTTTTTTTAGCTTAAAAGGAGACTTTTCGGTTTCCAATCCTAAATATTATTTTCATAATATTTTACTGAGCTATAATGGGACTTTCTGAATTGGTTGAGATGGCCGTAGTCCCTGTTCTTAATGAGTTTTTCTGCTATGCTGGGCATCTTATGCGCCCCAGAGTTCCACAGATCATGCTGTGGTGATCAAATTCCTTTCGAGTGGAAATCCACAGACGTAGCATCTATTCACAAGATAGACTGAAATGAGCCTGCTAAAAACTTCCGACCCATATCGCTTCTCCCGATTGTTAACAAAGTCTTGGAACACTGCTGCATGTTTAATCGTTTGTATGACCACATTAATGACTTAATTACCCATTTACAACAAGGGTTCCTAAGAAATCGTTCATGTGTCTCTGAATTATTGTCTATACTATATTATCGGACAAAACTTTGATAAAAACATCCAGATGGACGTGATTTATAAGGATTTTGCCAAGGCATTTGACAACGTCGACTACCGCGTTCTCCTTTAATTTAGGCATATATGGTTCCAAGACAGCTGCTACTTAAATGGGTTAGTCCAACGAGTTGTTATTAATAGCCCAACTCCACAAAGAGCCCATGACACCTCTGAGGTTCCTCAAGGCAGCCATTTGGGGCCACTGCCATCCACAGTACTTATCAACGACCTCTCAGATGTTGCTATAGGTCGATGTTTTGACTTTCCTATGTGCTGACGACGCTAAACTGCATCGCAACATCTAAACCTATGTAGACTGCTCGTCTTTGCAGAACACCCTAACCAACATGGATGAGTGGACTCGGTATAACAACATCTGCTTCAATGCCTCCAAATACAAAATGCTAAGCATTACCCGCGATAAGAGCCCGCTGGTTAACGTTCAGCTCCCTCACCTGGGTCATACATATTCATTAGTAAGGTTGGTAAGAGGTAGATTTTTCAATAACCACTTGGTATACAAAACTCTCAAGCAACTTAAAATTACTTTGAAATTTTCCATTGCTCCTAAACAAGTATAAAAGCTTCAACTAAACAAGGCATTCTTCCCTGTTTGTCATGAAGTATAACTGTCCAGTTGTATATTAGACTGGTTGCTCGAAGAACGTGAAACTAATGGTCCAAGATGAAAATTTCAGTTTATTTTTCGTTTCTTTTTAAGCAAGCGAAGGTAAGGTTGACATTTTTAAAGGCTTTTCCTTTATTAATATGAAGCAAAACTGAAAGAAACTACAGTTGGACTCTGATAATTCGAAGTCTCAAGGGAAAAGCAAAATAGTTCGAATTATCGGGGGTTCGAATTATAGGGGTCAAAAATAAATACGCAATTTTTACCCCTGCATAACTTTATTTACCCTATTTTCGTGATATTAGTGAACAGCCGAAACTGAGTTCGATTTTCTAGAGCCGTTTGATCACCGCACAAGCTCCAGTACAGAAGTACATGCCAATTAGCACCTCGGAAAAAAGCCTAAATTGAAAAACGATACCGACAAAGTGATCCACTTCCGCTAAATTAAAAGTGTGATTTAGCGTGTATTGTTTACTCATATCGCGTCCTTGTCATTAGACGCATGCACTCAACTGCTAGATACCGGCTTTGATTTTACTAAATCAAGCTCTGCTTAAATAATGGTCTGCCCAAGGAATGTTGCTTCGCTTCAGATTAACTCCTACACAAAGGGATATCACGACTACCAGGAAATCTGGAAAGCAACAGTGAATGAACTGAAACTTTCAACCAGAAGAGAACCCGATAACCCAGTGGACAAATATGCCGTATGTGTGATGCAAGATCAAGAAACCATTGTTGGACATCTGAAGAAGGGAAAGAGTGGACGATTCGCTGAGACAATCTTTTATTTTCTGAGAATGGATAGTAGAAATTCATGCGCTGTTATTGTGACAGACAGGCCTGTTAATCTTGGCGACGGTGAAGGGATGCAAGTGCCATGCAAACTTTTGTTTGAAGGAGAGAAGAAATACGTCAGTATTCTTGAAAGAGAGTTCACAAAGCTGAAAGACTAAAATTGGATTTTTCGTCAACTCTTTAGGCACATGGATTTTCATCACATCGACATGTTAATAACTTTTATAAAGCACCGCACATACAGTAAAGGGATTAATGCACAGAGAACTGTTTTGCACAATTATAAAGGGATTCACGAGCTGTGAAATGTTCGAAACTGTTATTACATAAATATATATTTTAATTTCCGACAGCGTCTGTTTTTTTTTTCATTCAGCTGGTAACTTAACTTCGAATTATCGGGGTAAAATCCGACCTAAAGGAACAGAAATTACTTCGAATTAGCGGGGACTTCGAATTATCCGAGGTAAAATGACTGAGAAAAGTGGGGCAAAACCAAGGGAAATGAATTTTACTTCGAATTAGCGGGGACTTCGAATTATCCGAGTTCGAATTATCGGGGTCCAACTGTAAACATGTACAATAAAACTGTTAGCAAAGCTACACAATTGAATAAAAAGTGATTCATTTTAACAGCGCTTAGATTTTTCAGTTGATCTCAGTTAGCTCATTTGTGTTTGGCTCAACCAGGTCCTGCCGTTCATCATTCTTTTCAGCGCCTCCTGCCCCACTTTTCTTAGTCTTGTCTCCTTCTTCCTTAACCTTACGGGCAATCCAGGAAATAAAAGCGGTGGTAACGTACAGCAGAGCTGTTTTCATTAACTCATTTGCAGACTCTCTGCCAAAAAACGCCTGCCCTGATAAAATTACGACAACTACAAGCGACATGACGGAAAGTAAAGAACTGAAACAGATGAACCCGAACCTTAACTTATCCGCCCCGGCAGCTTTCCTGGCAGCTTTCCTGGCAGTTTTCCTGCCAGCTTTCCTGCCAGCTATCCTGGCAGTTTGCTCACAAGCTGCCTTGGTGGAACATAGAAAGATATAAATTGCAAACACAAAGGCAGAAATAACTACGGAAATAACAAGCAGGACAGTAAAACCCCATAATGTGTTAATCATTATTCCAACAACCAGCCAGCTAAAATGAAACGCAGTGAGGTTTCCCCACATAAAGACAACCACTTTTTCACATTTCTTATTTTCAGGTAAGACTTTAAACCACCTTTTTTTCGCTACCATAGGCATTATTATCAAAGCTTCAACGAAAATCACCCCAAGGATAATATATATCTCACAAGGTGCCGCTGAATCTATGGCAAATCCCACGACAGTTAAAATAAGTCCAAACTCCACGAATGCTAGTAAAAAGATTGTACATCTAACGGCTTGTGCTAGCTCTAGTCTATTTCCCTTTGCCTGAGTGTCATCGTTTTCGTCCATGAAACGAAATATGAAACTACCGAGAGCTAATAATGGCCCAAAGAAAAAAGCAAAACTCAATGAGCTCCACAGCATCGCTCTGATGTACGTTTTACGTTTTGCCGTGACGCTAGCTATATCCGGAGTATGACCTTCTGTAACACACTCAACCGTGTTAAGTGTTGGATTTTCGATTTTTGGACTGTCAGCCAGGTCTTGAAGCTGTTAAAAGAAGATTTTAGCAGTAAAAATATTGACCAATTTTTCCAACAAGTGCTATTTCCATGTGTTGTTAAACTCAAGTGTACCAGCGTCTGTTGCCTGCACTCCGTGCATTTCGACTGAATGTCACAAAACCAAAACCAACGATATCACATCGGTCGATAAGAAAACATTTCAGGTGTAGTCAAAGCCGTATATTCACACTCTAATTTTTGTTTGTACTGGCAAAAATAAACTCGAGAAAAATTAAAAGTGTTCCTATCGCTATTCCACTGCCTCGAACCGCTAGTTCTCCGATTTCTTATATTAAATATCTTTTGGACTAAAAAAGAACCAATGCTTCTCACATGGTCCTGAATGAAAATAGGCACCTCTCCGTCCCACCAACTAGGTATGATATAAATTGACATTTTTCTGTAACTTACCTCAGACAAAACTCTGTCGATGTTCACAATTCTCTTATCCTTCGACACATTACAACAGAACGGTGCAATTGTGATGTCCAGGTCCTTTGTACGCGATGAGATAAGAATGGCACCAAGGGATAGGAGTTCAAGAACATTAGCAGGGATGGCAGCGTACAGACATGACATACACCATGTATACTGCACGGGTGAATCTCTTCCCGTGTGGGGGTCAGACTGATTCGTTGAGTACAGGTTGATACGGACAACAACAGATGAAGGTTCTCTTGAAGGGTAAAGGGCAAGCGCGATATTATAGTAATTTTCCTCTGATCTTAAGGAGTTGTAAACATCGCTGTAGTTTTTAATACAGTTGTTTTCATTTCTGCATTCAGTGATAACGTTGGCCTGGATAACTCCAAGGAAGTCCATGATCACTTGGAGTTTCAGAAACAGAGAGAATAACATCTTCGCCGTAACAAACATTATCCTGGCGTTTGGGCGTAAAATATGAAATAATGAGGGAAAAAAATCAAATAGCACTGAATTAAAGTTCGATGCTTACTAAACTTCCAATTGATACAAACTCCTTTATCAGCTACGGGAACGATAAATAGTAACGATAAATAGTAACGATAAATTCTAGTTTCTTGGAAAACCCGGATATCATAACATGAAATGTCGTCAACTGCCGCAATGAAATGAAATTAAATGAAAATCATTCGAATACAATAAAGTTGAAACTCATAGAATAAAGCAAAAATGAATGAAATCAAAGAAAGTGTTTCGGACTAAGAGTCAAGTTCGTACTGAACAGGCGCTAAATAAGATTCACACATACGGTCAATGCGAACGAAATGCGGCCGTGTTTAATCTTCCATCAGCTAACAAAACATGTCAGTTTAAGCCTTCGAATTTCGTTTGATCTAACTGAATGATACTTAATTAAATCAGTCAGTTTAGCTGTGATTTACTTGAAGTCGCCTCATTAACGATCAAATCTGGCGTATATGATCTATCGCACACTTCACGGTTTTAAGTTAAGTTCATGGGCATGAATAAATCATGAATAATGAGGTGATGAATAATGTTTCCGAGAAAATGAGTCATTCAATAACCCCGGGTTTTAAATAAATCAATTCTCTCTCCTACGCGATAGGTAACCAGCTAAACGAGCTCGAAGCCGGCCCATCATGGCTTCATTTTGATTAGAAGAGACTCGGATATTGTGCAAAAGGACCAACATAATGTTTTCAGGAGACTGAAATAATCAATTCGCGAATTCTGTACATGCAAAACTGATGTACGGCTCTCCGTCACGCGAAATGTAAGCTAAAAATACTTCCTTTGTTGCTCATGAACTCCTTTATTTTAGTCACAGGCGAGATTTTTCAACTAAACCACACTAGGCCACCACACAACGAGTCACGATCATCCTTAAAAATAAACCACACTAGGCCACCACACAACGAGTCACGATCATCCTTAAAAATAAACCACACTAGGCCACCACACAACGAGTCACGATCATCCTTAAAAATAAA